TATTTTTGAGGTTTTTTATGCAGATCTTTTCTATTTATAATAATTTTTTGCTTATTTTTGAAGTTTTTCTTGCAGATCCTTCCTTTTTTAGTAATCCTATAATTAACCTTATCTATTTATGTGTATTTCGGGGTCCTGTCTGAAAGGCAGGCACAGATAATTTACACAACCTTTTCAATCTTGAGTAAAGCAGTCCACCTCTTCTGAATCAGAGCACAAATGCAAACTGTTGAATCATTTTAACTTTGCATTTAAGTGATTTACAAACCTGTCAATATCGAATTTTCTCCAACATTCCTCTCAATTTCTGAAATCTAAGACTCTTATAAACTTATCTGCTAGATTCCTTAAACTTGGAACTCACCTTGTATGGTAAATCTCTATATTCTTTCGAAGACAAAGTTCCCAAATCTCTTTGACAATATTTTTTTGCCATTGCATCGGTCCACCATCCACTACCGACTTTAGCACCACTTTGTTGTCTATTACTAGTATTATCCATAAACCCTTTAACTAATCTCTAAAAGACTGCAGAACTCAAAGTACTGCAATAATTTCAAGTTGGGCTATAATATTGGCTGTTAACTTGTAAGACCAGTTTTTTGCAGCAACCAACCCTAGATAAACCCTATACCAACCTACAACTAACGCATCTACAAAAACTTCTTTCACTCTCGAAGGTTTCTAGACTAGATGCCTGTTTCAACTTTTCAAATTCTTCACTAATCACTAAACATTCTCTGTTGCCTAAAAAGTCAAAACAACATCCTCATCTCACTTCTTCTAATATTAATTCCTTGCATCTATCAACTTATAGAACTCAAGACTTTTCACTTGAGCCAGGGAAAAAGCTCTTGCCAGACTCTGGATCTTGCCTGTAACCGAGGCCAACTTCTGTGCTGAACTCTTGGTACCTTCAGCAAAGCTTTTAGTTGCAAAATAGTAGCAACAATTTTTTCTTCCGAGGCAAGTACAAAACCTTCCATTGTGTTTATAATAAGGCTGCAAAATTTTGGATTCTGCACTAGGTCTTAACTGCCTTTTTCTTCTGCCTGAATTCACCTACAACTCTCTAAGTCTCTTTTTATAACCAATTTCTGCTGTTCTAACACAACATCTTTCGACAGGTGAGCTATCCAAATATTATCCAAATAGTTTCCACAAAAAATTCTTCTTGACCTCCAACTTCCAATTATTGCCTTCATTATCTTGGCAAAAATCCAAGGTGATTGGTTTAGACCAAACAGCAGCACCTTATAATGATATCACTTTTTTTTAAAACAAAAATTCAGAAAACATTGAGCTACATTGTTCATTAAAATGTAGTGATAACCTTCCTTTAAATCGAAAGTTAAAACTCACCAATTTCTGCCTACTGGCTTTAACAAAGAGCCTATACCTACAAACTTGAAAGACTTGCAAAGTAAGGTTTCATTTAAATATTTGAGGTCTATAATCAACCTGAATCTCTTCGAACTCTGTTTAGGAACCACAAAAACAAAACTTATTTTTAAAAGCAACTTTGGTCTTACTTTCTCTACCACAACTTTTATGATAGCATCAGTTTATTCCAAACATTCTAATTCTTTCTCTATCTACTTCTTCTTCTCTGAAGAAAAGATCTGAGGCTTTGGTAACAACTGTAATACTAAGCTTATAACTCCTCTGGGAAAAAGAAGAACCAACTTTTCTAGCTATTCCATTACTACCAGAGCTGGTTTTATTATTTCTTTCCAATATTTTACTGCTATTATTGAATGTAATCTGCCCATTACATACTAGCCATTGTGGTCAATCACTTTCTCACTGCTCATTAACACACCTCGAGCATAATCAAGTTCTCTTTTGCTTTGCATTGTTCTTACAAAAGAGCATACCCATATGCTTTTTTTAGAACTACACTCATTAGTATAATGCCCTTTCGCTTTATATAGAAAACAAACAACTTTTTGCGTAGCATTATACCTCTTGGCTAAATTTTGATTCTTAAACTTAAACGATAGGACACCCTGAAAACCATATTGAGAAAATTGTATTTTAGGTGATAAATTATGTGAAGACATATTTTGTACCGCTTGTTGTTTAACAAAAAATGGATTTGAAGAACTACTAACTGCAAGAGATGTAGAAAGAAACAATTCTTGTTGGTTAGGAAACTGCTGCCAGCTTGGGTAAGTAAACAGATAGGCTTGCACAAATGTAGATACAACTGCATAACCCATTTGCAAGTTAGAAAACAAGCTCTGCATGCCCCCATACTATCTATTACCCAGTTAACTCTTTCTATAAGAAAATCTAGGCTTTTTACTTTTAGGAAAAGACTGAGTCACCAACCTGGCTTTTTCACACTTTTCACCAAAAATCTGAGACATAGAGTCTAAAAAATCATCTGAAACCATCTTTTCAGCAATACTTCAATCATCTTTATCAGCAACTCTTACTACATATACTCTTTTCAACGCCACCTGCTTAGCTAATATCAAATAATTAACATCCTCTGTGCTTAATGATTTATCTAGCAAGGCACCTGTCTTACACCACTTATTAAACTCCCATTAGTTTCGGGCTTTTGACAGATTGTGCTTTTCCCAAAGACCTATGCTTTTATTGCTCCAATCATATATAAACCTATCCTTTGCTGTCAAAGTATATACAAACTGATCAGTATATGAGGGTGCACTATACTAGTATCATTCAGCCCAATATTATTAATAGGATGCTCAGGGTTCAAAGAAATAAAAGAAGCGTTCAAAGCACTTATATCCTTGTCAATGTCTACAATTCTTGATTTCACCATTAATTTACTAGAAGATTGTTTTCTGCTCTTATATTCACTAACCAACCTATTAATTAGATTCTGTTTAATACCAATATCAGAAATACCTATACCAAGGCACAAAAATTTTAACATCTCCAAGAATAACCAGCTAAAATTCGTTTCAAAGTTAACCTGACCACAAGGCAGTTTAGTATCACTATTTGACGATATTGCAAACTCATTTTTCATCGTAACAGATTTGTTCTTTTTAGAATTACCACTCATATTCAATAGAAAAAATAACAGATAATTTCTTTTCTTTATTATTTTATATATTTATATTTTATAAATCTTATATATATATATATATTGCTCAATATAACCAGAACGAAAGTCAGGTTCGCAGAAAAGACAAAATTAATTTATATCGTCTCTTTAAGTTCACTAAAATACTGTGCTCTAATTACCTCATACTTACTCAATTACCTCGTACTTATTCAATTAACTCATTCTTACTCAACTATTACATACTCACTGGAAATAATCAACTTCCTTAATCAAATTGTACCATAATTATATACCAATTACCACATAATTACCGTATATAAGGATCGATCGAACAATCAATCGAACATGTGACTGTAACTGGGCTTATCACATATTTGATCAGAGAATAGATTCAAGACAAAAACTGTCTCAATACTATTGTATCAAGCAACTATTAAACCAGTTCAAAACTTTAATAAAGACAATAAGTAATTTTGCAGTTTTGAATATTACCAAATTTGATGTTATTTAAAGCAAAGCAGAATTATATAATATTTGACTAATCAAATTATAGAATTTTAATGATCACTGGCAAAGCAAAACAAGAAATAAAAATGAAAAATCTAAAAAATACAAAAAATGCTAATCTAAATCTGCCTTAGGTAAGTTAATTAAAAATATCAAAAGGCAATTTTGTTTATATATAACTATTTAAAACTAATCTAACTCTAATATAAGATGACTTTAATTCTAATATTAATTTATATAATAAAATATATATTATAAGAACTGCTCCACTTTAGATATCTCTCAAATTTGGAGTTGCAGATCATATCTTTTTTGTATAATTAAAAAATTCTGTCTATGTAGGATTATAGTGGATTCTTAGACTACATAGTCATAGAACAATTTATATTAAGAATATTATTAAATATTACAAGTTACTATATTGCAGGTTAATATAATTAACCAATTAGATCACAAGATTTTGTATAACAAAAATAAATAAAAAATTAGAAAAAATTAAAAAAATCAAAAATTTTAAAAAAATTACTATTTATACCTAATAGATATAATACTCAATATAAGAAAAAAAATCAAAATTCTTAATATCTCAAAATTTTACTAAGATAATTATATGTAGGTATCTTAAGTAAAATTGTTTTTTTTTTAATATTAAAGTGATTACTTTGGAGTCTGACACATTTTATTAAACTTTAGATTAAATGTCAAGCCAACCATATGAGCTATACCTAACTTTGTTGCATATATTTTAGCTATTTCTGTGCCTTTTGAGTACCTAATTAAGTAGTTTTCTATTACTAAGTACTACACTAGATGCCATACCTATAACCTACTGTTACTTGAGTTATCTAATTAAACCTTCTGATCAACTTAGTGTTGTCAGAAAGTATCTTTAAAGAAGAGTTGCCACTAAGGCCTCTTAGAACTACTTTATTCTTGTGATAAATCTACTATAGCAGTCCATGTTCTATATATATATTATCTAGGTTTTTGATAACTTACATCTAGGTTATGGTCAAGTACTTGTGGCTTTTTACCTCTGCTATTATTACCTACTCTGTGCCTTTGCAAAGTTCATCTAAACCCTAATACTATACCCACTTTATGAACTATTAATAGTACTTCGATGCTAACTAACAGTACTCTAAACTTCTAATCCAGATAGTTCAGGAGAGACTAGTAGGTATCCTCTGATATTCTGAATAAATTCTTTTTTCTCTAGCTGGTCTTGCAGCCTAGTTGGTGTAGTGCTTGCCAAATATTTGGTCTTCGTTCAGTTTACTACAAGTATTTGGTTTCTCAGATGATAATCCTTTACATAGTATTGTTATATTAATAGATTTTATTAGCATATTTTATAAGATTTTATTAGTATATTTTATTAGTATAATTTATATTTATTATATGTTTATT